CGCTCGCTCCTCACAGGCCCGCGCGAGCGGAGATGGAAAATCCCAGGAGAGGAGGCGGCTGAGCCCGGGCAGGGCACTATGCCCCGCACTCTTCTCCTCCGCACCCCGCCCGACACCCAACCCCACACACACACCCGCTGCCAGCCCAGCACCCAGATGCCATGTGTGCGATGGTAACCAGGGTCCCTTCTGGGGCGTTCAAGACCTGGGACCACAAGGATGTGGACAGTTGGGGGACTCCATCACCCGGGGAAGGGCCCACGGTTCAGCAGTCCTGAGTGGTCCAGGGTCCAGAGGGACATCCTGAGTGGACCCCCACCCCCACCCCCACCCCCACCCCAACACGTGCCATCAGCCATGATAAGTCAAATTTGGTTCCCGGGTTTGAGTGTGTTTCTGTGTGTCACAGTGTGTGTGCATGGGTAATGGTGTTTGCATGGATCAATGTGTGTGTGTGAATGTGCATAACTGGGTAGAATGCACAAGTGAGTGCTCCAGTGTTCGCTGGGTGTCATGGTGAGCTTGGGCATCTGGCTGGGTGTGTGTGAGAAGAGCCACTTACTGGTGGCCTTGGATGTTGGGGATGGGGATGGGTGCAGGGTAGTCTCCGCTTCCACTCTCAAGCCACAGTAATGAACGAGGGTCCAAGTGGATGTCTCAGGGTGGAGGTAGCTTCAGGCCACCTTGGGCCTGGCCTGCATGCCTGGGTGTGACCCAGAATGTGGGCCGCAACTTTTGTCACTTTGGTCTCTGTGTCTGGAAGGACCATGGGCTGGGGTTGCTGGTCAGTGACAGGTAGCCTCTCAGTAACACCGGGTACACTTGCAGAGAGGGCACTGGTGTGACACCGAGGTACCGCTGTGGGAAGACACCCTCAGAGGATGAGAACAGCCCTTCAAGACCTGCCACTCCCAGCAAGTGACTTCAGCCTCATAGTACTTTCATGACAAAGGTGCTATGCTTTGATATAATCCCTGCCTGAGACCACCTTTCCCAGTGGAACCACAAGAAGAGCAGACAGTGGAGCCACCACCCAGCCGTGCCACGTTCAGTCTCAAGTATCCATTGCCAGTATCCACAGCGACCTCTGCTGGGAAGAAGCTAAAACCATGGTGTGGAGGTTCAGGGTGGGTGTGAGCATTGTTAGGTGAAAACCATAAACCCTTCTCTGTGGGGACTCCCTGTCTGCCTTTGGAGTCCTGAGCTGATGTGCTTGTCTGCAGTTTCTTCAAGCTAATTCTAGCAGTGGGACTGCCGCTGTCCTTACCCACAGGGAAATATTTAAAGAGGGCCTAAATAAAGGCCTTTGTTTATGTTTTCATCCCATTGGGGCTAGGCATCAAATCCATCTATGAGGAAAATGCATAGAAAACATTTATCAAAATCAGAGAGGTTTAAGCATCTTTCCTGTTTCTTCCTCTCACTCTATGATTTCTTTCTCCTTTTTTTCCCTAGTTCACTTTGATGCTCTTCTCTTCCTGTTATTGAATAACATATAACATATAGGTCAATAACATATTTTTCAAACATAAGCCTTCTTTTCCTGGTTGGCAATGTGGCCCAGGAAATGCAGGTATCAGGAGACTATAAAGAGCTGGCAAACACTGGCTCTTCCAGGCTAATGATGGGAGTGTGGGAGATGGATGAGATGGATGAGATGAGCTCAGTCTCAAATGCCCACCTGGTGACAGTGTCCCTTCTCCGGGAGTTGCTGTAAAGGGATTTCACGCAGCCACAAACTCTTTTAAACTCCTCAAAGGAAAGGAGGTATTTAAATACCTGGTATTGTTCTTACTTTGGCATCCATGTGATTTGCATTGAACTATGTGACTCAGTATCATAAAGTAAAAATAGGACTTAATATCTTCCTTGCCTGTTCAGAAGGTGACTATATATTGTGTTCTGCATTGGAGAGTGAAAAACTAAATTATTTCATAAATTGAACCACCTGCTTATTCTGATTAGAGAATGACGCTCAACATCACCTACAGGCAATACCATTATTTTATGTTCCTTTTAATTCAGACCTGAATCTCCTTGTCTTGTAAAACCTTTCTTCCTGCTCACACATTATTACTTTCACTTGAAGTTAATCGAGAATCTTTAATCCTTGTGCTGAAGCCAAACAAATGAAATATCATCAGATACAGGAAGATGTGGGTGGTGTTTCTGTTCTTCTTGGGGGAAAAAAAATCCTTGGAGTTCATCAGAGAGAAGGAAAGGGCCTGAAGATTCAGTAAATCTATGAGTAGACTTCATGGGTTTCTGAGGCCAGGTCCCTCAGAATATTCCAGGAGGCACGAATGTGATGCTTCCCTGAGGTTAGTTGAAGAATGCAAGTGGCATGCGTGTTGGGAGACTGCAGCCCTGGTGAATCCTAAACCCTCCCATTAACACAACCTTTCTTAGGAAAATGCCCCCAAGCAGTTTGCACCCTCAGGCAGCCAGCAATGGCTAAGGAGTGGAGCTGTCCAAGGTTCTACAGCACTGGCCTCAGCCCCATCAGTGAGAAGGGAGGATTTTAGGGCGTGAGGCAAGCTCTGAGGACTACAGCCAGCCTCTGTGAGGATTTTCCCAAAGCTCATCACATAATGGAATAAGAGGAAACAGAGCTGCAGAGGCTTTCAGCGCATCACTTCGAACGAACCCTTTGGCGATCCCTATTTAAAGAATTATGAGCTAATAATAAGAAGAAACGTTTCTGAGTCAGGCTCTTCACATGTAAGAACGTATTTCATCCTCACAGCCTCATGAGATAGGTGGTGGTGTTATTCCCACCTCCAAGATGAGGAAATGAAGCTTTGAGAGGAAAGGGGCTTGCCCACAATCACACAGACCAGAAGGGACAGAGTTTAGGTTCCAATCTGGATCTCTTGAACTCCGGAGCCTCCTTCTTACCACTGTTTTTTGTCCTACCACTATTTTAGAAGTGAAATTGAAGTGTTGGGCCATTCTATGTGAGATTCTAACCAAATTTTAGAGGAATGGGATGGGGGCCCACTAACATTCAGAGAGAAACCACAAAAAGTCCTTTTAATTTCATCAAGGATTGTTACCACACACTTGACATATTATCCTGACAAAAAGTTTGTTACCTGAAGTTGATTACCAAAGAAGAGGAAAGCATAATGACCCGCATG